ATTCCATGGGTTTCATGTTTATCTTGGAGTGGAATTGAAGCTTTTAGTGCATGCCAAGCTCTTGGTCGAGGTGAAGAAGTCAATAGTAACTCGACAGAGGACCGTCGAGCACAATGTTGGTCGACAAGGAAGTCGACGCCGCGGGCAGAATTTGCCATCTTTCCTATTTCAATTTGGAAAAGGATTTTTCGGTCCTTTAATTAATATGGCCGACTCTCCTACACCTCTAGAAGGTTCTAGATGGTTTTAAATAATTGTGACATGTGTAATTATTTATTTAAATATAATTTAAATATAAATTAGGAAATTTAGGAAGACAAATCCGATTTGAACTTGCATTCGGATTTCTTTTTGTCCAAGCCAACCTATGCCTATAAATAGGGGGCTGCACGACTCAAATCATATATGTTTGATGATTATTGATATTTCAATACGAGACGAGAGGAAACTCTTTGTTCTTTTTCTATTCTTTTTCAAAGATTAGTGCATTGCACACTTGTTTGTACTTTGTTGACGCGTGCACGTGATTTTAAGTGTTCTTCACGTGTGGAACTTTGTTAGTTTGTTCATTGGAGCCTTTTCGCTAGCCGTTCTATCCATAAATCGAAGGGATAGGGTTGTTAGAAAGGAACCGATTGGGTTGCTAACCAAAACACAATTCTTCATCTTTCAAATCTTCCATTCTTTTTTTTTTTTGCAAATTTTTGTGGTTTGCATCTTTCTTCTTCTTTTCTTCGACTTTTTCTCGTGTGATTGGGAGTATTCTCCATTGGTGTCACAAGTTATCAAGTCTTGGGAAATTCATAACTCTGTGTTTGAGGTAATTCCATAATCTTGCCTTAAGATTCTTCATTGTTAGTACAAATGGCTCTTTCCCTTTATGCATTCTATATTGACTGGAAATAATGTTTTGTGCCAAATTTTGTTGGAACCTATTTAGACTATGCCTGCAAATTTCTAGCATCCAGAAGAAAAATAGATTGCTCTTCACAACGTCGAAGACCTTTTTTGAAGCTTAATTTTATTTGTATATTGAAATAACTGATTCATTCTTTCTTTGAAGTCATCTCTAATTTCCAACACAGATAGACTCATTTCCACCAGCTCTAATCGACTTGTAGTTGTAAGTTCAGGAAACGATCGATTTCACATATTATCGACGCATCGACACAAATGACTCCTTTCCATCAACGCAGTTGCCTTAAGATTCGTATCATTGTTGCCAAGGAAATAGCTTTGATGTTGGTGGGTTTTGTACCATTTTTTGGCTGTGATTTGCTGATTTTTGTATCATTTTGAGGCTGTGATGTATGCAACTTGTAGGTGATTGTGTTATATAGTGTTTTTTTTGTTTCAAATTTTTGATGTTCATCTTAAATTTGTGATGGTTAGTTTTCAATTGCTCAATGACTTCTTTTTTGTTTTTGCTGTTTATTGTTCATGTTGTAGTTTCGGTTATTTTTAGAGGCATTATTTTCTGATGGTCAGTTCGGCTACTGCTTCTACCAATAGCCCGTTTTTTTAATTTTTATTACTGTTATTTTGATGCCAATGTGTAGTATGTTGCTGTATATGAATTGGGCCTTTCAAACATAGGCCATGTAGCCCATCATAATTCTCATTTTAAAAATTTGAAAAAAGTCAGAATTAATTTGTCCAAACCATAACCGTACCAAACCGAACCGTGAAAATACAGTTCGGTCGGACTGAATTTAATACCAACATTTGGCCGGTTTGATTTGAATATTTTTAAACTGTAAATCCTGTTTGATCCATACTTTACTCTCCAACTGGCCAAACCGGACCGTGTACATCTCTAATCCAAACATAACCAAAAAAAAAAAAAAAAAAAGAAAACTCAAACGAAAGAAAACGCTCTAACAAAAGTATCCCTCAACAGAAATAACTAAATCCCCTCCAGAAAATAAACAACTTACTACCACCGCCCTGGCAACAAGACCTAGCAAAGTGTACACTAAGAAAATATTTTTGAATTAGGGATCTCTATTGTTTGTGTTTGGAATTTTTGTGATGTTACATTGAAGAGATTTTTAATAGATTTCCTTTAACACATTAAAGTATTTATCCACACAAAAGATGAAAAAATAATCAACACAATTTGTTTATACATAAACACTGACCTTTCATAATCATACACACATGTCCATAATATTCTTTTTATTTCAAAAGGCAATTGATAAATAGATAGTTATTTTGTTATATATAAAGAGCAAAATTTTTCCAATTACTGATAATACCCGTATAGAAAATTTTAACATATCTACTGTAATTAATTTTATTTTTATTTTTTCTTTTACGGATAAGTTAAAAGACAATCTCTTATTCCAAATATATATAAAAGAAATTGTGTAAATTCTTTTTCTTCTCCATATAATAAAAACTTGCGTTTTTTTTTTTTACTTCTTCAAGTTTTTTTTTTTTTTGCGTAATTTTTTTTCTTCTCATTTCCTGTGATCTTGATTTAAACCTTCTAGCACCGACTAAAAAATTATTAAAACATGATACTTGAGAATTTAAAAAAATTACGGTAAATAGCATTGTTTTTGTTTCTTGTGACCTCACCACACTGGGGATGATTCTATAAATTGACGCCGGTAAGTAGACAAACGGAGAATAGAAATTGGACACCAATATATTGAGAGATTTAAAGAAAATTAGAACTTTCTAATATTGAAAATAAAAAGTAAATTAAGGCATCAATGGATAGATAACGTTGCGAAAGAGGCGAGAAGCTCAACACCGTATCCCTCATCCGGCCCCCTCGTAGAATTTTATCTAAATCATAAAAGAAGGGGGAAAATGAAGAAACTTAATTATAGTAGATGTGTTAAAATTTTATATAAAGGTATTATCGGTAAGAATTTGCTCTTTATATAACAAAATAACTCTATATTTATCAATTTTCATTTCAAAATAATTGTCATTAGATAACTTGCACACAGTTTAAAAAACACTTTAATAAGGTAGGTTAAAATTACTAAAATAATCTCAACCAACCCCATTTAAATAAAATGCTTACCAAAAATATTATTTTTTATAGAGATAAGTTGGTAAATTTTGGACTAAAAATGTATTGAAATAATAAAACGATACTTAATTTGTAATTTTTTTATTAACTAAAACGACGCTTATTTTGAAATGGAGGGAGTATATATTGGCCAGGTCCCGCCAGGCACGGCCAGACATCACTAGTACGTGCATGCCTTAATTTGAGGTTGATTATGTTTGTGCCTAATCGTTAAGTGTATAATGTAAGTGCGTAAATTTTTTTAACAAAAATACTCTAAATATATTAGTACAGTAGAAATTCTAGACATATATAACGGATTGCTAGACTGTCAATTTTTTTCCCCGTTTGTAAATTAAGTTGTATCATGAAAGTTCAAAGAATCGAATTTTTCCCCAAATATGAACATCTTTTCAACCTTTAAACATTGATCCATTTGTGGGTTTTATTTAAACCGTATGGACTAGTCCAATTTACTGGTTTTGGTAGTTACATAAAAAAATAAATCCGTCTGGAACCCATACATTTATCATTAAATAAACAAATTCTATGATCATTCATATCATTAACAATAAACCCATATAATCACAAAATATCAACCTAATCTTCTTCTACAATAAAAATTATAGTAAATTAATATTATCGTTCAACCAACAAATTTTTTTTCGAATTAAAAAAATGTAATTCATAGCTTACAATATTGCTTGGATCAATTTTTTTTTTCCCTCTTTTCGTTTTTGTTTAATATTGCTCTTCAGAGGTTGTTGAAAAATAATGAAAACAAAAAAGTTGAAAGAGCTAACCAACGTAATTGTATGTTTGTGTTTCCTCTATGTTTTATGCTCTTTGTCTGTGCGTATCTTTACCACAAAAGTTAGTTGCACCCGCATTGTGCACTTGTGCTACGTATCAAGTTCATTGGTTTCTTAGAAAAGGCAAAAAGAAAGCTAAAATTGAATAAATCCTTATTTGGTAATGAGAGTGAACATTAATCTGAAAGTGAAAAATCAATACTAGTTAGTTTTGTCTTCCTTTTCTACGTATTTTTGGCGTGTTTGCAATATGTACCCGTCAAGCCTTCAAGATGCCCACAATTCATAAATGTCCTTTATCTTCTCTTTTTTTTTTCCTTTTGTTTAGACGAATTTCTAGAATAGTTGATTAATTAGGAATACGTTCAATGAATTTAAGAAGAAGAAGCAAACATGGTCTCAAATTTAAGACAATATAATTGAGAGGTTATTCAGACATTTGGGACGTGGAACTAGCCAACCAGATAACAACTGTCTAAAAGCAAAAGCTAGAGATATGTTCAATGAATTCTTCAACTTCCATTTCATCGTAGAACGGGAACAGATTCATAGAAAAAAAAGAAAAAAGAAAAAAAGACCAATGCATTTATTTTTTTAAGTTTGATATTTATACCTATAAGAATTAATTATAAAACTATTCAATTAGTTACACAACTGCTCAACCACTCATGAACTAGCAACAAACAATCTCTATCACATAAGTAGACTCGTTTATTTATTTATTTATTTATTTTCAGGAATGAAACTAAAATTTGAGCAATCATTTTATCTTTTTGAAAAAATAAAGCAAAATTTCATATTAAATATAGGTAACATTTTGTTATGATTTTGATGTAAGAAGTAATAATCAATCGATGTTTTCTTTATTTTTTAGTCTACAATTACAGATGTGTGCGATATTTCTATGATATTTTGAATGAATTAGTATTTTAATTGAAAGTAATTTTTGAATTCGGATTAGACGAAATAATATCGATAAGTGAGTAGAATATATGGAGAGAGGTAACGTAATGAATTTGTTGCAATTGGCCTAACTGATGATATTATTATGCCACTCTTCTGAATATATTTTAATATAATCAATTTTCTTTTGTAACGCCAGAAATTCGACTATACGCCAGAAATGCATACGTGTGCATGAGAAGAAAATTAAAAAACTAGGTGCGCATTTTCAAATTTTTTTATATAGCTCGCATAACATGCGAGTTCTAATAAATACTAAATAAAGTATTTTATAATTCTTCAATAATTATTAAAAAAAATTCCGTAACCACAAAGAGACAAAATCAAACTGGAGCCTTCGGTGGCGACTCATTATGGAGTGGATTAGGCCCAGATGGTACCTCCCTCAAAAGCCTGAAAGGTGCAGATGGAGAATCGTGGTGAATAGAATCTGGGCCACTTGGTCCTTTAAAAATTCTCATATTCTTGAGATTGACTGTTGACCAATCATAACCCAATTCATGAAACAGTGATTTACTGTCAGTCACAGAAGCAGCATTTTCACCTAAGATTCTTGCACTTGCACTCTTAGAATATACTGCCAAGAAAACAAAGAACACTATAAAGATTAACGGTGTTGTTGGTTTTGCCATATCTTCTTTTCTTTCCTCTTGTTGTTTGATTTTTGAGGTAATTGTTGTGGGTCGATTAAGATAGGTATGACTTATGAGTCCTTTATATAGAGATAGGATTGGTAAAGAATAATGATTTTCATTAAATTTTCTTTTTAATATTTTATGGTTAGTGATTTTATGGATAATGCTTGGAGATCCAATATTTTAATGTTATTAAGGTATTAAATAGCTTACTATTTCTTATAATTTTGGTTTCATCTCACTCGATTATCTATAATCTATCTATCTACCTACCTATATATCTATCTATAGTATTATACTAAGAGAAAAATCAGATAGAGAAAACAAAAAAAAAGATTTCTAAAGATGCCATATAGGATAAAATCCTATGTGTTATTTTCTTAGATATCCTGCAAAAAAATACTAAGTGAAATTATGAACAAGTCCTCCTATTACAAAAGAAAAATTAAAAAAGGGCAAACTTTGTATATATATATATAAAAAAACCATTATCACATTCCTACAAAAATCTCGGGTAATAATGAATTTTAAATTTTGAAATAATTTATTATCATTATGAGCATTAAATTTTTTATTACTATACATATTTTTTACTTTGATCATGAGATTAATTCACATAAATTTAGATATTCTAAATGAAATTAATTAATTGACTAATTAATTGTTGATAAGTAATAAATCATATCTCTAAAATCTATCCACTTAAATAATGAGATTTAAATTTATTAAACAATACCGGATGAAGAAATAACTACTTATGGTCCAATAATTTTCCCCGATACCCGAGGCTAATTAGTTTTCATCCAAAAAGAAAAAAAATCATAAACCTTAATCAGAGTGCCAGATCAACAAAAATCCTAGGTGTCACTTTATAAAATTTCTTCTGAAAAAAAAATTAGTAAAATTATAAATGAGTATTCAAATTTCATAAAAAATAATTAAAAGAAACCATCACAATTTAAAAGTATAAATCGTAAATTTGGATTAAAATGTGGAGAGAAAAAAGGGAAATAGATAATTATTGATTTAGATGTTCAATTAAATCAAATGAGATAAGAACTTTTCTGTTATAGGAGAGAAAAAGGAAATAAAAATCTTATCCTAACACTATCGTAATAAAATTAAATAGAAAATAAATATGATGCTTTTGTTTCCTTCTCTTAAATTTGCAGAGCCGTAAATCATTATAGTCAAGATTACATTTGAATGTAAATTCATTGATTTTGTATATATCAGTCGGTAATGACTGTATACTCAATAAAATTAAATGTGACAGATTATTCCCTCACCTAAGAAAACAATATTATGAAATACATTTCAAATTTTGAAATTATTAAATGCTGAGCATAATCCGCAAAAATTGTGAAAAAATTTATCAACCAATTCATTTATACCCTAATAAGTAATAATTTAAAATTCTAAAAAACAAAATCCAAAAGTCCACTAAACCAATATTTACATATACTGATCAATGGCAGTGCATTTGTACTATGGGTACCACCCCCCCCCCCTCCCTCCCCTCCAAGGCTAAACTGAGGAGCTGTAGTACAAATGACCGACAACCATAGTAAAGGTTTTTTTAATTCTTAAAATTTTTGCCTATTTTTTAATTGCGTGATTTCATTGAGGTCACTTTGTTTTATTGATTCCCTCAGTTTATAATTTTAAAATAAATTCTCTGATTAACCAAAAAAATTAATTTTTTGAATATCTACACATTCAATTTTGAAATTAGACGATATTTGTGTTTGATCTTTTTTTTTATTTTTATTTTTTCTTGTATTATCAATTTTGTTGTTGTTCTCTTTTGAGTTTTGGAACACGCCAATTTATTTGCAAGAATGGGAGTCAATAACCTTGAAGGAATGTTGTCGTTAAAAGTGTAAAATGAATCACCTATATTTCTTGAGAGGATACAATGTGATATATGTGGACTATTACGATATTTTATGGTTCTAATAAATGCATCCAATAAATGGTCTCATGTACGTTTATTATCAACCCAAAATTTTGCATTTGCAAGATTTTTAGCTCAAATCATTAAACTACAAGCTCAATTTCCTGATTATACAATAAAAATGGTTAGACTTGATTTTGCTGGTGAATTTGCATCTCAATCATTTAATGATTCTTGTATGTCTACTGGAATCATTGTTGAGCATCTTGTTGCTCATGTACATACACAAAATGGTTAAGCAGAATCATTGATTAAAAGATTAAAACTTATTGCTAGATCATTAATTATTAGGACAAAGCTGCATGTTTCTATTTGGAGCCATGCAATATTATATGCTACTTCACTAATTAGAATAAAGCCTAGTGCGAATCATAAATACCCCCTATTGAAATTGGCACTTGGATTTGAATCAAATATTCACACCTTAGATTTTTTGATTGTGCAGTATATGTACCCATTGCGCCACGAAAATAGGTCCCCAAAGTAGATTGGGAATATACGTTGGGTTCGAATCACCCAGCATAATTAAATATATTGAACCTTTAACAGGTGATGTTTTTATAGCACATTTTGCTAGTTGTCAATTTAATCCCAAAATTAGGGGGAGAAGAAAAGAAGTAGTAAATGATATCACATCAAATTAACCATCATTATTGTATCTTGATCTTCGAACAAAGCAATGTGAAACAGAAGGGTAAAAGATTGTGCACTTGCAAGCAATTGATGAAGTAACACATAGAGAAATTGATGAAGTTGTTACATACTTAAACGAAGAATTTGAGATGAAAAATCTTGGAAAAACTGAGTATTGTCTTGGTTTACAAATTGAACATATGCATAATGGTTGTGCATCAATCAAATTACACTGAAAAGATCTTAAAACGTTTTAACATGGATAAAACAAATCTTTTAAGTACTCTAATGATTGTCAGAACACTCAATGACGAAAAGGATCCATTACGTCCTGCTAAAGATGATGAAGAGATTCTTGGTCCTGAAGTTTCATATCTGAGTGCAATTAGAGTTCTTATGTATCTTACTAATTTTACTATACCTGATATTTCTTTTGCACTCAATTTATTAGCAAAGCATAGTTCATCCCCTACCAAAAGATACTGGAATAGAGTCAAACATATATTTTGTTATTCTCAAGTAAGTATTGATTTGGGTTTATTTTATTCTAACAACTCAAAACAAGAGTCATTGATTATGCAGATGCATGTTAATTATATGATCCTCACCATACAAAATCTCACACTAGTTATGTGTTTACATGTGGAATAACTGCAATTTCTTGGCATTCCCAGAAACAAGCAATAGTATCTACTTCTTCAAATTATGCAGAAATTATTGCATTACATGAAACAAGTAGAGAATGTGTATGACTCAGATCAATGACACAACACATCAGGACTTCTTGTGATTTTCCAGTCGAGAAAATTCCAACCATTTTATAAGAAGATAATGCAGCTTTTATTCATCAGTTGGAAGAAAGATATATAAAAAATGATCGAACTAAGTATATACCTCCAAAATTCTTCGCATATACCAAAAAGCTCATGAAGAATAATGACATTGATATTCAATATATCATACTCAGTGAAAACTCATCTGACATATTCACGACGTCACTTCCTACAATACTTTTTAGAAAACATGTTCATAACATCAGAATATGCCATTTACACAACATGTGAAGAATTACTGATGTTATCATCAGGAGGAGATAATTACGCGCTGTACTCTTATTCCCTTCCCTAATTTTTTTTCCCATTGGGTTTTTATTTTAGCAAGGTTCTTAACGAGGCAGTATTATTCGTGTAATTTATTTTGATATTCAAGGGGGAGTGTTAGAAATAAATGAATGTCAACAATTGTCAAAGATATTCACCCCCGAATGTTTAAATTGAGTTATCCCATTTACTCTATTGAAGCAGAATACAGGATAACATCAGAATGTGTCATTTACACAACATGTGAAGAATTACTGATGTTATCATCAGGAGGAGATAATTACGCGCTGTACTCTTATTCCCTTCCCTAATTTTTTTTCCCATTGGGTTTTTATTTTAGCAAGGTTCTTAACGAGGCAGTATTATTCGTGTAATTTATTTTGATATTCAAGGGGGAGTGTTAGAAATAAATGAATGTCAACAATTGTCAAAGATATTCACCCCCGAATGTTTAAATTGAGTTATCCCATTTACTCTATTGAAGCAGAATACAGGATACTGATATTGCAAGTTCTTATTAATAATTTTTTACTCCAAATGCACCATATTGCATAAATTATTCTACTACGTGTCGTCATCCCTTTACTTAATATAAACAAAATATAAAATCTGTCCAAATTTATCAACCCAAAATTAACTCCAAATAAGTAGGTAATCTTCACTCAAAAGATAAGAAAGAATTTCTCCATTCCCATCCTATTACAGTCAAAATAAAATCTCAAATCAGTAAAAATCCCTAAATTTCTCTCTCTTCTCTCTTTCTCCCACCAATCAATACCTTCGTATCCCTCGCCGCCAATTTCTCCTCCTCCACAACAACATTGGTTGTATCAGTTCCTTTCTTCCACCGCCGACAATGCATGCGACACAAATCCGTTCGAATCACTTCGCAAATCCGGGCAGGATGCGCGGGCGGCCATGATGTAGTAGTTTATTTCGGTTTTTCTTTTTGTTGTTTCATAGAAAACCCAACACACAGATTTGTGGGCTTTAAGTTTTGCGATGAAATTCTTCAGGAAATTGAGTAAGAAAAGCGGCGACGACGGAAGCCCAATTAATATTTCCGGCGGCGACAAGGTTAATGACGGTGACGGACATGTTGGTTCAGAGAGGTGGAGTTTCAATTCCAAGAGTTTCTCCTCAATAACTGGGCTGCATGGAAAGAAAAAGTTCACCATTTATACTTGGTTTATGGATGGTTTCCTCTTCAAAATCATTTATGTTTTGGAAGCTATAGTTTTGGTTTTCACCCTCTATTTCTTCTACCTCTATCGCGGTTGCCATCTCTGCTCATCATTATCATCGCTATAGAGAGAAAAAAATATTAGAAGAAAATCAAAGGAAATGCTACCAAAAATCATTATGTTCGAATTTTTCGTTTATACCTTAGTCTTATTTTCTTCCTTTCTATTTTGGGAGCTTCTTGATTTTTTTTTCCCTTAAAGAAAAGTATATTCATCATTAGTATGTGTTATTTTCTTTTCTTTTTTAGAAAACAGTCATCGTATTTTTTGGCCTTTAAAGAGGGCATTATAATTCTTTGGAAGGTTATTTGAGTGAAAGTATTTCTGTGAGGCACGATCGGTTCAATTTAGAATTCAAACTATAAAAAATAGAGAAAAACATACATTACATATTTAATATCACAATTTAATTAAATTGATAATCAATTCAACGATATACACAATATTGTTATTAACTAATTCTTAATTGTTTGAGTCAATTCTAAGTAATATTTTGGCAGTCATAACATCCAACTCCAATAGCTTTTTTTCTTTTCTTTCTCTAACCTTTTAATTCCTGGAGAGTTTTATTAAGAAGAATGCCGGACTAAGCATGCAATTTTAAAATATTATTATAACAATATATGTCTTTTTTTTTTAATTATGAATTGTTTTTTTCATCCGTGCAAATTTAAAACACATTCGGGTCCCGGGTATTTGCGGAGCCATTCTACATTATTAAACTTATATTATTATTTTCTAGATGATTTGTCTTTTCATTTAACCGACTTAAACTACAGGGGTCCCCCAAACATTTGCCCCGGGAAAGCAAATGTAAAAAAACGTACATTTTTACGTTATAACCTCATATTTCGAGTAAATTTTTTATGACCCCATATGATACCAGAAAACATATATAGACATTTTTATTTTTTTTTTAAATTAGGAATTCATTTATCTATTAACACAAAATTAAAGTAGAGGGGCTGCCCGTGCAGAGCATCTAGTTTAGATGTGGTTTAGGAAGTGGTGTACCAAGTGGAGGAAATTATTGTCCAATAAACGATTAACATGTAAGGTAAGATGCAAGGGTGAGATGAATATCATGTCTCATAATTAATTTGTACCTTTGTTTTGGATCATTGTTGACCAATCGTAGTCCAGTTCAAGAAACAGTGATTTACTGTCAGTCACAGAATAGCATCTTCACCTAAAATTCTTGCACTTGCACTCTTAGAATATATTGCCAAGAAAACAAAAAACACTGAAAATATTAACGTCAATATTGGTTTTGCCATATCTTCTTTTCTTTCCTCTTGCTGTTTGATTTTTGAGGTAATTGTTGTTAGTCGATTAAGGTGGGTATGAGTCCTTTATATATAGATAGGATTGGTAAAAGTCAATGATTTTCATTAAATTTCTTATTAAAATTTTATGGTTAGTTATTTTATGGATGGTGCTAGGAGATCCAACATTTTAATGTGGTTAAAATATTGAAGAGTATACTATTTTTACAATTTCGGTTTCATCTCACTTGATTATCTCTATGACTTGATATCCAAATTCGTGATTGGTTTATAATTTAGATAATTGCAATCTATCTATAGTATTATACTAAGAGAGAAACTAGAGAGAAAAAACAAAAGAAATTTGTAAAAGTGTCATAGGATAAAATTCTATGTGTCATTTTTTCAGATATCCTCGCAAAAAATACTAAGTGAAAGTCCTCCTATTACAGAAGAAATTAAAAAGGGAAAACTTTTCCAAAAAAAAAAAAAACCCATTATAACATTCTAGCAAAATTTCGAGTCATAATGAATCTTAAATGAAATAATTTATTATCATTATGAACATTAAGTGTGTTATTACTTTACATAATTTTTTACTTTTATTAAGAAATTTAATTCTCATAAGTTTAATAGTACTTTTATTTATTTATTGAAAATCGTTCTGTTGCGATTGAATAATACAAAGAAACAGTCAAACACAACTTCAATGTATTACTTTGTTGTGTTTACCGTGGACAAACCTATACAGATTTACCCATATAATTGACGGGCATATCACGTACCAGAGTCTGAATCTGATCTTGAATATATCTCTAAAATTATGTTTAAAACTCCAAACCACATATCTAAATATTAGATCTGCGGTGACTGATTCTTCATGGGGCATATGTCGAACATTTTCAAAGCCACTGTAAAACAGACCTACCTCTCAGTAGAGCAATCTACTGAAGAAACACTGCAAATAAAAAAATCCTACTATCTCAACAGATTATCAAAATAATCTATTGAAGAAACTAATTTATGAGAATAAACTCACTTATTAAACGATAAAGAACAAAAAAGAAATACGATTAAACAAGTTTATTTCCCCCATCCTCCCATGATGAGAAGATGGGGGAAGAAAAATTTTTGGAGTTGGGGTTTGAGAGAGAGAGGCTACTAGGGTTAGTGCTAAGTTTATTGTTTAAATCAAATTAATTAACTGACTAATTAATCATTGATAAGTAATAAATCATATCTCTAAAATCTATCCAATTAAATTATGTGATTCAAATTTTATTAATTGGATGAATAAATCCTTATGGTCCAATAATTTTCCACGATATCTGGGGGTAATTAGTTCTCATCCAAAAAAGAAAAAAAAAATCATAAACCTTAATCAGAATGCCACCTTCCATGTTTCCTGTGATCACTTGCAACACCATTTCTCACCTGACTACAGCAGTCAATCCATCAATTCAGCAGTAGCAGTCATAGTAGGTCAATAGTAGGTTGTAGCAACTGTCTTCCAGATATTCTCTCTCTTTCTCTTCTTCAACTTGCAGCAGCTATAACTTGCAGTGATGGTGAAGCAATTCCTTCCTTTGGCAGCAAGAGTTCAGCCTCGGCTCTTCCTAATTAACAGCAACAACATCATCTGCAACAACAATTTGGCAGCAGAACAGTTGCCATTTCTTCGTCTTCTATTGAGGTAGTTGTTGCAGATTCTTCCACTTACATCCATCTGCTATCAATCTTCCTTCCACAGCAAGGATTTCTCCACTTGTTTCAGCTCTGATCAATCCTTTAGCAGCTTCCATCTTAAAGGTACTGCACAATCTCAGGAATTTCTTGATATGCTCATTGGGATCATCACTGGGTAGTCCATAGAAAGGACAAGCATCTTGCACCCATTGAATCATTTGAGTTTCAAGCTCAAAGTTCTCTGTTAGAACATTATTGTACACCAATGGAGTTTGAACTTCCTCCTCTTGGGATACAAAATAATCTCTTAGCAGTCTGGGTTGAGCTGGTTGTAGCTCTCTTTCTTGAGGTTGATCAGCTGCTACTACCTCTACCATCTGTTTCTAGTTCTTCAGAACACGAGCAGCAGCTTCTCTGTTTCGCAAGGCTTTGGATCTCCTTGCCGTGATTTCAATTTCTTGATCAAAATTTAGCTCTCCAGATGGATTGGTTCTAGTCATAAACCAGTAATCAAAACACGAACAATAACAATATCAAGATTTGTGACTTGAGTGAGTAAACTTGATTAAAAAAAGAAAATTAAAAAGAACAAAAACAAAACATAATAATCAGATTTCAAGGATTTTTAATGCCATCTCCAGCGACACCACCACTTTTGGTAAGGGTTTTTTGTTGAACCACTTCCCAGAAAAATATTTATAAACCTAATTAAAACTAGTAGCTAGTAGTAAGCAGGGTCGTTCCGCAGAGACGGCAGTCAACTGCTCAAAATCTGATTAAAGTACAGAAAGGAAAGAAAATTAGTTGAACAGATTGTCACTTGGGAGAGTGAGAATAGTCACTTGACAGAGTGAAGAGGCAGAAGGGTCAATCACCTTCCTACCTTTATGATCCAGTTTTGATTCAATATTCTTGTAGTGTATGATTAGTTGTTCAATCAGACACTTATATTCTTTATAATTCTGGTGGGTTGTCAAACCAACAAAAATAAAAGAACCTACTCCTAAGAAATTTAGTAGTATAGCAATGAGTAGGGTCGTCTCCTTCTTACATTCCTTTATTTCTTCCCTCTTTAGTACATCCTGCTTGATTTGAGTGTCTTCCACCACCACTGTACATTCACTCTCTGTAGCATAATTCTCAACTTGATCTGGAATCTGAAATGTCTCAGCCTCTAATCTACTAACTTCTGCAACCATCTGGGACATTTGATTCTCCAAGTTTTGAATTGTAGCACAAATAGATTGCGATTCCTGTATAAGATCATGCACATTAATCGCCAAATTTCTATCATTTCCTCTAAAGACATACCTGGCTCTAGCGTTGGCATTGGTGGTTGATACACTTGTTGTGATGGTGGTAGTGGGTTGTAGTCGTAATTTGGGCAATCTTGCAAACTTGGATAATGTGTATATGGATTCTGCTCATATCCCCTTCGTGGTGATTCCAAAAATCCTCCTTCGTTACCCACATATCCTCGTGGATGATATTGAAAATTTGGAGAAAAATTAGCTGTGTGACCGCGTATAGAACATATACCACATGCTTGCACCTGCTTGAGTTGACCTACAGAAGAAGTTAGTTCATCTAGTTGTTGACTGATGGACAAGAGTCTTACCTCATTTGGATCCCAGGTGTTATACTGATGATATCCATATGAACTCATGGCAAAAGTAAAATCTCAAAATAGAGAAAAGAAAAACAAAAGCAAAAAACAAAAACAACTTCTAAAGAGAAATAAATCACTTCACCGTGCTCCCCAGCAACGGCGCCAAAATTTGGTGGGTTGTCAAACCAACAAAAATAAAATATTCTACTCCTAACAAATTTAGTAGCATAGAAATGAGTAGAGTCGTCTCCTTAGAGAGTAAGGAAGTGAAAATATTTCTAATCAAAAGCAAAGTAACTAAATGGGAGAGATTTTGGATTTGTAACTAATGAATAACAAAAATAATTTGCAAGCAATAAAAGATACTTTTGGAAAATCAATAATAAGAGCAACTCTAGTCAAAGGAATAATTTTCACCTTGATGTATCCAACTGATCATTGATGTAAAGATTAACTCAAGAAATGATTAATACATTAGTTATCGTTGTTGGAACCTCCT